TGCTGGAACTCTTTCCTCTGACTGCTATTTTAACAGTGATTTTCCCGTCACTCCTCTTCTCACTCTCTCTCTACACTTCCCTTGAATAACATTTACTCCTTTGGTTTTTAAAGGCCATCTACATATTAGTAAACTACTTATGTTTTATGGTTAGCCAAACTTATACCAAATTCCAAAACTATACAACCAATATTTCCTATATATCTCCAGCTGAGCATCCCTAAAATGCCTTATGCCGTTCTCATTTCCCATTCACACTCCTCACCTGAATTATTCATTTCCTCTCCTTAAACCTGTTGTTCCTCCTTTAATTTCCTATGTCTATGTTGGCAGCACTATGATAAATCCAATAACCCAAGTCAGAAAATTGACAGTTATCCCACAGCGGGGACTGGCACACTGTAGACCATGGACCAAATCCAGCCTACTGCCTGGTATATACCATAAAGGTTACGATTTTAAAGGGTAGAATTCAGGGTGTTTCTATTTCCTTATTGAGACTCGCTATTTGTTAAGTCATTGTTATCATCATCATATTTTGTTATTTAAACATGATTTGATTATTTGAACAAATTTATAATAATTGACAGAAGTTGTTTTTTTGCTAAAAATAACATCTACATACACCCATTCAGAGAAAGTTTCTATTAACTACTTTTCTCTCTGATTGTGGATCACATGTTCCCAGGTTTTACGTTTTCTTCCAGTTTTATTGATATAATTGACAGATAGTGCTGTATAAGCTTAAGGTGAGCAGCATAATGATTTGACTTACATACATCACGAAATCTTTTGATCATGCTACATACGGTATTTCTGAAATACCTTGCTCCCCCTGGTTAATTCCAGGCAGCATCCAAAGATACAGTTCTTGTATTACTTCTTGAACGCCTTCACCACCCATGATGTTAATACTAAACACCTGATCATGTTGGGGTATGCCAATTCCTCCACCTGATAATTGATTTTCCCCTTTGTAAATCATTAATATTTTATGGGGAGATACTCTGAGATTATGCCAAAATCTTATCCTCATCCGAGTGTTCCACAGATGTCTGTTAGATCCAGTTGGTTTATAGTATTGTTCAAGTCTTATTTTTCCTTGCTGATCTTCTGTCCAGTTTTCCTATCCATTATTGCAAGTGGGCTACTGATGCCTCCAACGATCATCATTGTCCATTTCTCCCTTCATTTGTATCAGTTTTTGTTTCATGTATTTTGGTGCTCTTTTATTAGACACATATGTTTATAACTGTTATTGTTTCCTAATGTATTGACTCCGTATCATTACAGAAAGTCCCTCTTTATCTCTAGTAAGGAGAGAGAAAGTCTTTTGTGTTTTAAAGTCTATTCTGTCTGTTATCAACATAAATCTTTCCAGCTTTGTCATTGCTCTCTGCGTGATATATAATTTTCCATCTATTTGTGTCTTTGAATTTAAAGTATGTCTCTTGTAGACAGCATCACTGGAGCACATGTTTTGATTCAGTCTAACAACCACTTCAACCACTTCATTAGATTATTCCATCTACTTACATTTAATGTAATTACTGATAACAGCTGGATTTAGGTCTGCTATTTTATTTTTTGTTTTCTCTATATTTTGTCTTTTTTGTTATTCTATTCCTACATTACTGCTTTCTTTTGCATTAAGTGAATATTTTCTAATGAAGTATTTCAATCGCTTTAATGATTTTTTACAGTATAATTTCTGAGGCTTTTTTCTTTAGTGATTGCTGTAGTGTCAGCATGCATACTTCATGTTATCCAAATGAGCTTCTGATTGATACCAGCTTAATTCCAGTGATTACATAAAAGTGTTACTCCTTTACAGCCAGATTCCTTTTACCCCCTTTCGTAGTTTCTTTAATAAACATTATATCAATTAATGTTACAAATCCAACAATACCTTGCTATAATTATTTCTGTGCCATCCGTAATGACTTCCTTAGCCTAATGCAGTTTTTTTCACACATATGTCCTTTATGCTGTTACTGACAAACATTACACATATATTACAATACAGGCCTAACAATGTCTTTTATATTCAATAGGTTATTTATTTAAATAGGTTAAGAGAAGAAAGGAGAAAAGTATGTATCTCTTCTCTTTATAATTACATAACTACCTGTATTGGTGCTCTTTTTGTATGAACTCAAATTACCATCTGGGATCACTTGCTTTCACCTTGAAGAACTTCCTTTATTATTTTTTGTAAGGTGGGTCTTTCAGCAACAAATTCTTTGTTTTTGATTATCTATTTCACCTTCATTTTTGAAGTACAGGTTTACTGGATATAGAATTTTGCTTAATAATTTTTTTTCCCTCTGAGCACTTTAAAAATGTTATCCTATTGTCTTCTGACTTCCATTGTTTCTGCTGAAAAGTCCGCTATTAAACTTATGGGAATCCCTTCAAGTGATGCATCGTTTTTCTCTCAACGCTTTCAATATTTCAATGGTTTCTCCCTGTCTTTGACTTTCACTGCTTTTATTATGATTTATCTGTTTGTGGATCTCTTTGTATTTAACCCTAATTGGATTTTGTTGAGCTTCCTGGACATGTAGGTTATTGCTTCTCAATAAATTCATCATGTTTACAGCTATCATTTCCTTGCATATTTTTTCTGCTCCTTTCTTCTTCTGGTGTTTCCGTTACACATATGTTGGTGCATTTGACTGTGTCCCACATTCCTCTAAAGCCCTGTTCACTGTTCTTAATTCATTTTTCTCTCTGTTCTTCAACTTGCATAATGCCTATCTCTCCACAAATTCACTTCTTGTTCTGCCAGTTCAAATCTACAGTTAAGGCTCTCAGATGACTTTTTTTTATTTCAGTCATTTTACTTTTCAGTTCCATAATTTCCATTTGATTCCTCTTTAAAAAAAACTTCTTTCTCTTTACTGATATTCTCTATTTGATGTGACACTGCCATCATATCTTCCTTTACTACTTTAATTGTGAGTTCCTTTTTGTCTGTGAACATGTCTATAATGGCTACTTTCAAGCCTTTTTTTGATAAATCTGACATCTGATGTCTCTGACAGGCAGTCTCTGTGGCCTGAATTTTTTCATTGCATGGGTCATTCTTTCCTGATTCTTTATATGCCTCAATCTGTTGCTGTTCTTGGAAACTAGACATTTTAGATCATATAGTGTCACACCCCTGGGTACTGGTATACCTCTGCCCGTCTAGAGCATATTATTGTTACTGGCTTATTTATTTTAGTGACTAGCTGGATTGTTTTAGTGAAGTTTATTCCCCCATACATAGTGTCAGCTTCCAATATTGTTCCTCGGGGAGGCACAGCCTTGGTATATCCACCATCACCCTCAGACCACTGGATCACCATGGTTTGGGTAGGGCTCTCTTCCTGTCTTTCCTTGACTATGCCCAGCTGTTAAAATCCCAAACTGGCTGGTTGCACTCTTATTTTCAACAATGCCCTGGAGCATAAGTTGGTCTATAAACCATCCACTCAAACTCTGGTTCCTTTGAAGGAACAGTGCCTTTGAAGGATCGGTGTGTATTTTGTTCTGACCTTAAGAAAGCTCGTGATGTCTTCCTCCCTGGTTTTCTCCTGCAAACTAGCTTGTCTGTAGTGTAGCCTGTATCTTGAATCTCCTTTGAAATGCCTTTTACCACAATCTCCACTGTTCTTGTGGACGCCTTCAGGCTTGAACTTCTTCATTTTATGTTGCAAATGAAGTCAGCTCCTTTGGGAAGAAATCAGGAGCTGTCTGTCTTATGGTCAGTTTATCCCTTCGGGCGAATCTCTGAGACAGGGCTCTGAGCTAGTTGTGGGGACAAGGGTAAAGTTTTCTCTGGGTGATGCTCCCATCCTAGGAGCTGAGCTCACTAGAGAGAAAGGGAACACAGTCTGGAATTCTCTCAGCTTGAAACTCTCTTGAGCTGACCATCCAATTTATAATCCAAGACAAAAGTGTTCTGGGTCCCAGTATTTTCAGCATGCCACACTCATGCCAAGTCAGGGCTGGACAGAAAAAGGAGTCCAACTGCACTCACCCAGGACTTAGCAACAGCAACAGGTAGCTGAGGGCAGGATGAGAAATTCTGATGTCCTGTTCCTCAGGGAAGAAAGTCGTTAGTCTAGCTTAAAGGAGGGGATGGGGGTGGGCAGGCCTGTGTTCTTGGCTATAGTAGTCTTGAGTGGAATCTCTACCTTGCTGAGCTGGCAAGGGGGAAGAAAGAAGCGGTCTTTGCTTCAAAATCACACTCTCCATTTCTTACCAAATTTTCATAGATGTTCTTGAATAAATGTTTCTTCATTTGTTGTTCACCTTTAGTACCATTTCCAGAGATTTTAAATGGCTGGGGCTTGGGGGGTGGGGCGTGGGGAGGTGTGTTAAAATCATTTTCACCAGTTTCACTGGGAGCAAGTCAGAGGAACTTTTTGTGCTAGCCTGGCAGAAGGCATCACCCACTTGTCCTTCAACATGGAGGTGAAGGGAGCAAGGTGCTGGGGCTCTGTGTATGCCATCTCATGTAATCTTCACAACCGAAACAGACATTACAGATCTGACTTTTATAGACCATGAAACCAAGTCTCTGAATCATTTAGTAACTTGCCCCAAGTAAAAAGGCAAATAGGTGGCACACATGTGATTCAAAACCAGGCCTAACCGCCTCCAAAGCTCATGTTCTTGATTAAGCCGGTCTTTTCATCTCTGATACTGATGCTTTTAAAAACCAGACCTCATGAGACAGCTATATCCCTGTGCGGGCACAATGATGTCTTTAAGTAGAACATCATCATCTTCCTCCTCGGAGTCTTTAATAATAACACTGTGAGAAGTACTGTTCCGTTTCCTCCTGCCCTGAGCTGCATTCCCACAAAGAATCCATGACCAGGGGATTATTACCATCTTGGTACTTTTGAAATCTGTTTTCCTAAAGAGCAAGGTAGGTCTGATGTGCACTGTGCTTGGTTTTTTGATCATTATGAACATTAAGACGACAAGGTCTCTGTGCTTCCGAGATTACCATTGTGCAAAAGCAGATACAAAGCCAACTAAAAGGTTATTAAGAAATGGCACCTCCTTTAAAGAAGACTCATGTTTATTTTGAAGATTCTTAGATACAAAATTATCAAAAAGTTTAACGCATCAAAAAATTCACAGTCACAACTGACTAGTCACTAATAAGATTCCTCTTTTAAAAGTGACTTCATGCTTTTAAATATATTTCAAATTAGTAAGTACCAAGATTTTAAAAATTTTAAAAATTCTTACCATTCAGATTTAAACCAACAAAATTAACTGGATAAATCTAAAATATATAGGTTTTATTCTGTATTCACATGCCAAAAATAAATATGATTTTAAAATAAAAAGACATCATAATCTAGATTTGGAAGTTTAACCTTTATCTTTACTTGACTCCATTTATCACTGTTACCAAAAAAAAGGTTTTGGCCAGTTTTTACCACCTCAAAGTCAGATTTCCCTGTAACAAATTATCCTGCTTACTTCTGATGTTTGTGCTAAGCTAAGTGTTAGAGGAAAAAATAGCTACTGAAGACAAAATCCCCCAAATTACAAGACTCATCAAGGGAACTGTGAACACATGGTACGGAATATAGTTACATATTATATTTAAACAAAGTTTAAAGAATGCATTAGGGTGAGACTGTTTGCTCCAAGTGGCTCTTTCTCACACAACAGAGGCCCACACACTTGTGGGAGTTCTGTCACACGTGGTCACCCCAGTTAGAAGCTGGCAGTAGGAAAGACACTTAGTCGCATGATCAAAAGAATGTTTGTTTTTGAAGATCTTTCATCTCAACTGTCAATACGCGACTGAAATAAACAAAACACCTTTGCTAAGGAAACAAAGATGGTGGAAGGACTTAAATGAGTGAATCAAAAATAATTAAAAATTACTTTGCAGATAGAAAATGACAGCACTGAGGGACAGCATCAAGTGACAGCTGCTCAAGTGACAAAGGCATTGAACAGCTATTTTAGGTTTGCCATAGTGTGTGCAATAGCTGTTTAAAGAATGCAATCAATGTACTTACCAAATATTTCCCCTCCACTAGCATATTCTGTCACCAGATAAATCATCCGTTCTGTCTCCATAACCTGGTGCAAAGGCAGGAAAGTGACAGTGACACAAATGACAGCTTGAGATCATAGGGGGAGAAACTAATGACTCTTCTTTTGTCATTTGAAGTGTTAATAATCCTTACTGCTTAAAGGAGACTTACAACACTGGGGGGTTGGAAGGGTGACAGAAACAAATGTTATTAAGAAAAAAATAGGGAAATAGGTATTCCTCCACGTTCTTAAGAGGTAGGAAATATTTACTACTCGAGAGAGACAGTCCTCTGGTTATCCCATGTGGCCTCTGCAATCTCTTAAGCTCCACAAAACTGAGAGGCCAAGAAGCTGCTAAGAACCAAAAAGTTCACATTCAACACTGATCACTTGAAGAACAAAAATGTCCCCCCAAAATTCAACCAAAACAAAACTAATGGAAAACAATAGGACTCATTTAAGAACTGCACACAAGTCACATATGGCTGTGAGTTTTTTTTAATGGAACTGACAACTTTCCTGTCCACTATCCATTTATTCAAAACCGAGAACAATAATATAAATATTCAATACTTCAAGTAATATAAATGACTCATTTCTATTTTATCCTAGTCTCTATTTTGCTTTTTTTTTTACTAGTTGTTGCGTGTTGTCAGTCCCTTCTTCCTTTTTACCTTTTTTGTTAAATATTTATTGAAGTAGTATATGAGGACATATGTTCATTATAAATATTTAAAATACCTAGTATACAAAAAAAAAAGACCAAAGCTTTTCCTCTTCCCAGCCACCTTCACTTTCTTCCCTGGGGAAACACTGTCAATAGCTTATTCTGTATCATTTTAGAGCAGTGCTGTCCTTGAGAAATATAATCTGAGTGTCGGCTATAATTTTAACTTTTCTAGTAGCCATGTTAAAAAAAATGAAAAAGGTGAAATCAATTCTAATACTATATTTTATTATCATGAATATTATCATTTCAAAAAGGTTTTAACTGTAAAGTGCTCTAGTTTTCATATTTAAATTAATTAAAATTAAATAAAAGTTAAAACTCAGTTCCTCATTCGTTTCAGCCACGTGTTAATACACAGTAACCACGCGTGGCTGATGGCTATCATAGGAGGCAATACAGTTCTAGACTCCCATTATACTTCACAGTTAATTATTTTGTCAAATTATTCCCTGGCCACTTTGTCTGTGACATCTTTCACACATTAGCACCATACAACAGTATTATGCATTACATTATAATAACAGATCTTTCTCTTCTTTTCCATAGTTTCATAGTACTCCATTGTATAAGTGCACATTATTTTAATTTTCTAATCTAATAACTGTGTCTTTTTCTCTCTTTAATTTTTAAAAACCCTCTATACATTGGTGATACCCATTGTTTGTTACATGTATTGCTTCCAAGCTCTCTCCATATGTTGACATAGGTAACAAAAAGTAAGTACCCTAAATATATGCAGGTGTTTAGAAAAAAATAAAAGAGAAAAATAAATGTCATACTGTATATCTCCTTTGTACCATCAGGCCTTTTACTGACTGTAAATGTTCTCTTATTTTTAAACTTTATAGGAGTTCAAAAGCTTTCCTACACAGTTACCTATATTTGGCTCGCTCTATAAATCCAAGGGGTACTGAAGCTTTTGGCAAATGACCTGAAAACTACCTTGCTACTATATGAAGACAATCTGACAACCATTCTCACCTTGGTAGCTCAGAATCTCCCATTAACAATACTAGCTGCCAGAGAGCAAAATTAGAGCTTAAAAGAGGGCAATGTTCAAAGTAAGGACTGAAAGTATGGAAATCTTACAGGCTGATTGGAAGGTAAGAAAGGTAAACTTGCAGATTTCAGTTGTAAGGTTAATACCTACAAGTTAACCTCTTGAGAAAGGTCAACCTAATAAGCTCTACAATTATTTAAAGATGATTTATTTTAAAAAGTGAGGTCAAGCAGTGTACTCAGTCTGTCAGGATAGGAAGGAAGCAGAGGCTAGACGCCTCTGAGTTTGCAGATACAGGTCTTCAGACAACCCCAGGAAGCTTTCATGGGTTTGCTTCTGGGACGCAATGGAGGTTTGCTTCAACATAATCTAGTCTGATAAATTTCAGCAAGTCTGCTCCTGCTGATTTAATTCAACTCATTATGTGAACAGCTGATGCCAGAGAAGGGCCCTAAGGTGGAGCCTTAACCACACACACTACTGTCATGACATGCTTTCTCTCCCATAAAAGTAACAGACTAGGAAAACTTGTTCACTGTGTCTTGGATGTACTCCCTCCACTCTTACACATACAAGGTCCCAAGTCTGGACCAGTAACCATTTACTGCAGACTAATATCAGCAAGTGAACGGAGTGGGTGGCCACTTCCTCCAGAACTAGGTGATGGCTGTTCTGGCAGAAAGCACTGAGCAGGGCTGGCCCCATGCAGAGGCAGAACCTGTGGCTGCCAACACACTGCAATTTGAGAAGCACCCCAAAGCCCCGCCTTTCCCAAAATATCTCTTCTAGCAGCCTGCTAAGGCCAAGTCCTCCTCTACTATCTGGCTTAAAATTCCAGCCTTTAGATTGACTGACTGCTTTTGCAGTAAGGCTAGGGAATCACTTCTGATGATGCATGAAGTATGTATGTTTCCTGGGAAGGTAAGAAAACTAGAATAGAAATCTCTTCTATTACACAGACTCAATCACTTGGTTATCAAAATAATCAAATGCTACCTTGGAAAACTAAGTCTAAGACCCTATTAGAATAGAAAGGAGGTAGGTTCTGACTGATACAAGAAGCCACACTTAAAATATCCTACGCCATCATAATTCATAACATGATCACAGCAATTAGTATTTAAATAATGTTGTAAAAAATTATGTTACATTTATCTCTAGCTTTTCATCTCTCAAAAGTCTCTGTTCCTTTTGGGTTTCCCATTCTGCTTTAGAATTTTGACCTAAATAAATAAGTTCTTATCCTCTAAATAATCTTTTTGTGTAATTCTAAGAATGGCATCCAAATTTTAAAGAACAAACTTAAAAGGCCTATTTGGGCAAGTTAGTTAGATTTTACCAGCAAATAGCCGGAAACATAAGTACTGAACGGGGGGTAAAAGGGTGACGAAAATAGTAGGGTGAACATATGAATATAAAACAAAAGAAAGTTGCAGATTTCAACCCAGTTTCACCCACCACCTTCTCTTCAAAGGCAACCACAGATACAAGTGACCGTTCTGGGCCTTTGTTACCATTTGTTACACCACCAGTGATCCTACCTGGTAAAGCCTGATAATGTGCGGGTGGCAGAGCATCTTCATAATCTGAACTTCTCGGAAAATCTTCTTCAAGTTTTCTTCATCCAGCTGGGTCTTGTCTATGATCTTGATTGCAACCTGACAACAAAACAGAGAAAGGAAATTTACTCTGATGCATTATTAAAAGGAGTTTACCAAGGAAAATTAAATCCACTTTAAAACATATTCCACAAAAGACAGACTGCTGGCATTTTGTTTACAGAACATCAATGAAGAAAATAAATTTACTCTTTTTAGAAAGTCAGGAAATGGATTCCTCGCAAGTTGGTCTCAAAAGAACAGACTCCAAAAGCTAATGGGTCTCCTGCCGTTTCTTAAATTGTTCTGCAGTAAGACTCCGTGACAAAACACCTCATTACCCTACAGCTGTGGTTACCGTCTAGGCAAATCACGCTCTGGTGCAGAGAACGGTGCATAGGGCCTCTTATTAAGACAAGAAGCTTATATTGTAAGAACATGATGATTCGGTAAAGGTCCAACCAGAACCTTCACAGGTGCATTTCACATCTCACCGGGTGCTTCTGTAACTCGGTAACAGAAGTAGTGGTAATGGTCGCCGTGGGGGCAGCAGCAGGTACTAAATGCTGAACGTTTACTACGTACCAGGCATAATTCCTTGTGCTTTGCAAGCATGAACAAATTTGAACCTCACAACACCCTAGATTATTATTAACCTTGTATTACGAATATGGAAATTGAGACACACAGAGATTAAGTAATTGCCCAAGATGAAGTTAATTTGGGATAGTATGTAGTAGATCCAGGACTGAAGCCCAGGTTGCTTGGCTTTAGAGTCGAATTCTTCATGATAACACTGTAAGAATTTGAAGATCTTTCTGCACTGTATATACACTACTTCAGCATAAAACATCTTTCTAAGTCTGCTCATTATTCCTTTAAGATACCCGGCAGCATATATATTTAAAAACAGAATGAAAGATGACTTTTTTTAATCTGTTAAATCTAAACTTCCTTATTATTCTTAGTGAAATATGCAAAATATTGGGTTGCCCCAAAATATCTCTGTATCTGTTTCAATTATTCAATTAGTACATAATCAATGAATATTAGCTGGATGAAGGACTAGGATTAGGCATATTCTAGCCCCTTTCAATTCTTAAAATCCTATGATTCTATACACTGGGTGGGGAAAAGAAAAAGTCTACTTATTGAGGGAAAAAAAAGGGAAGCAAAAATACCAATACTAAAAAATTTAGTCCAGAGAAATAAAGACTATGAATCACACATGGTAGATGATTCAAATGTATGAATAACTAGAATAAAAGTAACTTTGTTTGGAGCTGTTAGTTCAAATGTTAGAATGAGGACTAATGGGGGAAAGGCACAAGGAGAGAAATTAAAGCACAATTTAGAGTTAAGCCCTGGCTAATGTTGGAATGTGATAAAATGAGCTGCGTGTAGCTTGAGCTACAAAGATTAACCAGACGTAGCCTTAACTTCAAGGAGCTCATAATCTAGTAGAGGCAAGACATACATGAAACAGCCAGCAATACGGCACTGGAGATACAATCAATAAAGCCACGTGCAAGGCACAAGAGTAGAACAGAGGATGAAGTGTGACCTTCACCTGGGGGACAATAAGCAGATATAGGCAAAGATTGACAAAGAAGACAGAACTTAAGAAGAGACAGAATTGGGATGGGCAGAAAAGAGGGTAGGAAATTTTATGAGGAGAAACAGCAGAATCATTAACAAATCTCACCAACTTATCTTCTAATAAGAAGTCTTGAACCATATGACCCTGACCACTAGCATTTCTACTTCTCCTTTCAGCACTGTGCCAGGTCACATCTAGGACCTCAACTCTGGCAACTGGTCCGGCATCTGTACCTGGTTCTCTAAGAACAGCTCCCAAAACAAACCAAAAAATTCACAGTACACAATGTCCTTTTATAGAACAAATATCTGGGCCTTAATAGTAACTAATTATTAATAAAATCTTACACATGAATGGGACACTATAGTTTACAGGATGTTTTCATATATATAAGCTTAGAAACTTACATACATATACCCAAAGCAGAGCTCCCCAAATGGTGCACTGGAGGCCATGGTAGGTGACAGTGGATCACCTCCAGCTTCAAGGAACCTCAAGTATTTACCCCAGAGAAAATACCATCATTTTGAGTGTGCCAACGGCACACAAAAGGCTGGGAAGCACTCTTAAGGATTTGTCGATCATCCGCTGTCCAAGGATTGGTCCTGAAAGTCCCTTATTCTGTCCATGCTTACTAATGGAAAGCAGAGGAAAAGTAAGGGGGTGGAAGGTGGGGGTGCAGAAGGAGGGCCTTCAAAGCATTCGGCCATATTTTTGCACTTTTTCACCCTCAAGAAAGCACTGGGTCATGATGTAATTGGGAGAGTCATACAGTAGGGCCTCCTGATTCACAATGGACTCATTCTGAGTTTCATTTGCATTCTAAGGCAAAACAACTCTCATAAAGATGAAGAGAAAATCAAACTTAATCATCTATGAGAACAACGTTGGCGATGAAAACCTCATAATATATAGTACGCACTGAACAGATATTTTAATTTAATAACAATTATATCTGATTTCACATAAAAGGAACATGGTCCTACATATTGAAACACATTCTTATCTTTTGGGGAAAATTGCATTAAGTATAATCTTAAAAGTAGATACAGAGAGGTTTTAACAGATAAAAACATTAAATTCCTGTCTACTCTAGAGTGAGATTCAAGATTCAAGAAGACAGAGAGAGGCTTTGCCCAGCAGCTGAATATGGTGTAAAACTGTGCGGGTTCAAAATCTTGGAATTGTCCTGTAACATATAACCTTGAGCAAGTTATTTAATTTTTCTATGATGAACTATAAAATGTGGGCAACAATAGAAGCTACTTTAAAGGTTGCTGGGGATTAACTAAACTAATGCAAGCAACCTACTCAGTATAATGCTGGGCGAGTAATGTACATTAATTACAGGTACTGCTATTGTTATTATTTTGTTTTGTTTTTTCTGGAATCAAGCCTTAGATGTTAGGCATTCTTTGGCAAGGATTAGATTTGTTTCACCAAGTGGCATAATCCTGGATCTGAAACACATCAACTCCTTTCTCAAGGGGCAAGTTGGGAGGCCTAGAAGCTAAAGAGCTAACAATTTGTGGGCAGCATTCAGAACAGGCTGCTTCCAGCTGATGTAGGAAGAATATGGAAAGAATGGAGCTGGGAAGAAAATGCATTCCATTCAGCCAAGTCACAGTGAGCCACAGGATGGAACCCACAGCAAGACCAGACAGAGAGTGGTCTGCTTCCTCAAGGCCGGCCAGGCCCCCTTCCGTCCACACTAAGTAGCTAACACCAGGGAGGAGGCCACGGCGCACACTTGGACACGTTCCTGATAGGACCACTTAACATAGGACCACTTAATGGAGAAGGAAAGTCCTCAAGTTTAGCTCCTACCTTAGCTGCAAACTGGGAAGTGGAGGTTTTCTAAAAAGTTGAAAAATACCGATGAGAGAAAGAAACTAAAAGTCAGAGAGCAGGTTGTTGACAAGCAGGTATGATTATTTTCAGAAGAGCTGAAGAGATCAATGAGCATGCATTTCCACAGCTACAGGTTATTGGAGGCTATGTAATAAGGTTTTAACTGAAAGTGGTACATATCAGTTGATTAAAAAATAAAATGTATCCACAACAAAAGGTAAATTGGCAGGTAAGAAGATGATAAACTCTCAAAGAATGTTTTTAGATTGGTGCTAAAAATCTATGAATCACATACTTGCACTTACATATGAAAAACATAACAAGTAAGGAAGGACACTTGTAACACATTATCAACAGAGCATATATTTCTTAAATTTGCTGGCTCTACATAGAATCCTTCTATCCTGCAAAGGAGCCTGATCTTGCAAACCGACACTAGTATTAATTAAACATGGCACTGCATCAAATACATTGTTAGACAGATACAGATTGTGGAAGTCCTTAAGAATTTCCTTACCCAAGATATTTCCATTCAATACATTTCTTTTTTAATAGGCATGTGGTACGAAGAAAAGTTAAATTCAGGTGGTGCCAAATTTAAAGCCATAGTTCTTTATTCATTCTAGAAAGGAAAAATAGCTATTTTCCCCTGTTAGTTCTTGTTTCTAATCACAGTTCCTTTAACTCTTACCTCATTTTTGCAAATGCAGTAATGCTCTTAGGGAATGAAATGGAAGAAAACAGTGTCTTCCTCACAACAGACAGTAATTCACTTGCATATCCTGGTAGTACGTTCATCGGCAAGATAAGGTAACAATAAAAACAAACCAAGCCAAGGAAAGGTTCAAAATGAAGATCAAAATAAATCACCTTTCCTCCTCATCCCTCAGAAATAAGTAGATCTCTTCTTCAGGGATATGCTGTGACAAATGGACAGTTTTTTAAAAGGAACTGCTTAGGAAGAACACACAAAGACCACAGGTGCTAAAATTCTTCCAAAAAGCGAAAGAGCACTCCCTTAAACTAGTATGCAGATGCATGGATAATAATTTCACAGAATACAGTAAACAGACTGAATGCTTTTAAGAAGGGAAGAGAAAACATTATGACAGTGCGGAGAAAGGTTTATTTTGAGAAAAGTTTATTTTGTTAAACAAAAGTATATTCTTTTAAGGAAATAAGTCTATTTCTCATTGAAACGCACTAACATTTAGGCAGGTATCCAGTTTTTCGCCATTGGGAGTTATTTTCAATGGGGTTCTTTTTACATTAACTTCTGTAGCTAAATTTTTATTCTCTTATTTCTATAACAAAGCTTATCTAGTACTCTAGATTATTCTCAGCTCAGATGTAGAATCATTTTATGGCCTAGAACTGTGCTGTCCAATACAGTAGGCACCAGCCACATGTGACTATTATGCATTTGAAATGTGGCTAGTTCAAAATTGATATGCTATACATGAAAATATACACCAGATTTCAAAGGCTTAATATTAAAAAGAGAATATAAACCATCTCTTTGATAATTTTTTATATTGAGTACACGTAGAAAGAATATTTTGGACAGACTAAGCTAAATAAAATATATTATTAAAACTAATTTCAATGAAAAGTCAACCTACAGAATGGGGGAAATATTTGCAAATCACATATCTAATATCTAATCTCATAAGGAGTTAAAAATCCAAAATATAGAAGGAATTCATGCAATTCAGAAAAAAAAATCCAATTTTAAAATGAGCAAAGGATCTAAATGGACATTCTTCCAAAGAAGACATACAAATGGCCAATAGGTACATAAAAGGTGTTCATCACTAATCATCAGGGAAATGCAAATCAAAACCACAAGATACCACTTCCTGCCTGTTAGGGTGTCTGTTATCAAAAACACAAAAGATAACAAATGCTGGCAAGTAAACAGAGAAAAGGGGACCCTTGCATACCACTGGTGGGAAAGTAAACTGATACAGCTACTATGAAAACATTATGGAGGCTCCTCAAGAAATAAAAAATAAAACTACCATATGATCCAGCAATCCCACTTCTGGGTATATATCCAAAAGAAACAAAATCATTATCTCAAAGAGGTTATCTACACCGTGATGCTCATTGCAGCATTATTCACAACAGCCAAGGTACGGAAATAACCCAAGTGTCTGTCGATAGATGAATGGATAAAGAAGTGTGGTGCATATATACCATGGCAGAATATTAAGATTTTCTTCTTTTTTGAAGAAGAAAATTCTGTCATTTGCAATAAATGGATGAACCTGGAGGACATTATGCTAAGTGAAATAAGCCAGACAGAGAAAGACAAATACCACATTACCGCATTGCATGGTATCACTTACATGTGAAACCTAAAAAAAAAGAAAGAAAGAAAGAAAGAAAGAAAGAGAAAGCAAACTCATAGAAATGGAAAGTAGAAAAGTGGTTGCCATGGGCTGGGGTGGAGGGTGGGTGGGACAGAGAACAGGGAGAAGTTGACAAAATGGAGCAAACTTTCAGTTATAAAATGAATAAGGTCTGAGGATCTAATCTCAAAATACGGTGACTACAGTTGATAACACCATATCGTATAACTGAAATTTGCTAAAAGAGTAAAACGTAAATGTTCTTACCAAAAAGATAAATACGTCAGGTAGAAGATATGTTAATTAGCTCAATGGGATGAATCCTTTCACCATGTATACATATATCAAAACATCACACTGTACACTTGAAATATCTTTCAGTTCTATTCGTCAGTTACACCTCAATAAAGCTGGGGGGAATAATGACTTTCACCTGTTTCTTTTTACTTTTTAAAATATGACTACTAGAAAATGTTTAACTATATACGCAGCCCCCATTTTACTGGACAGCACTGGTCTAGATGATGCCAATACCAGTTAAAGCAGGTATTCCATGAAAATGACTTCCGAAATATTTGACCTAATATTGAGAACCGCCAGTCACCTATCTCGAAGAAACTTGGCAGGCTGCAAGGCACTCAATGCTCAAACACTGCTTTTCGGGAGAATCTTAAATAAGGTTTGAAAAGTTGCATTCCAAGAACTCAATTTAATTCCAGTAAAAAATGTTTATTGAACAACTGATTGGCTTAAGGCAGTGCCTTCAAGCAGCTTGCTGGCAGCTACTCTCAACAGGGGTGCTGTGAGAGAATTAAGATTTACACTCTTACAACAGCAGTTCTCAAATATTTTGGCCTCAGGATTCCTTCTCTTAAAAATTATTGAGAACTTTCAAAAAAGTTTTGTTTCATGGGTAATATCTATCCACATTTACTTAGAAATTGGGTTAAAATTATAATCAGAGATTAAAACGGAACATTTTAAAACATAAGAATACTCTCAGCACATTTCATTAGCCATCAGAGTAACTGTATCATCAAACATCATGTTTGGAAATCTCCACTGTATAACTGTGAGAGAATGAGACTGAAAAATGAATATTTATGAAAACGACTTGGACCTCGGGGACTCACTGAAAGTCTTGGAGACTCTAGACTCTAGTGCATCAAACTTTGAGAACAGCTGCCCTAAGGCATCATCCACTATATGTAATGAATTCAACTTCTCTCCCATGTATCAAGAATAGTACCACCTTTGGGAAAACTGACAAACTAGTCACTCAAATTTTTTTTCTCTGTAGAACTTAATTCTTTCTATAAGGCTTATTCAGTCCCCATTGAGATGGCTTCTAGAAAAGGAATGTAAATGCCTTTGCAATCAGCCTTGATGAAAAGGTTTTCTCTTTTAAGCTTACTAGAAAAGAGAATTGTCATCAGGAAACAGGTTTAAAGGAACCCCAAACCAACACAAACTACACAAACTAGACTATAAGGCTCAATCTGACAGGCACTAAACGGCCATGATTAAAGATGTACCGCACAGCCACAGTCAGGATGCAGGAGGGCCATTTTCTTGAGAAGAACTTGATGTTTGCCCTGGAACCAATCAAGGAGTCCATATTTTAGTTGGTAACAAGTCGTCAAATCAAGTACTAAAAGGCAAAGCAAAAACATGCCCTTTTGGAAAGAACCAGTTACTCCATCCATTTTACACACCAATTACAACTGTTTCTGGGGAATATGCAGCTGTCAAGCCTTCGGAGTGACTGAGATACTAGGATTCTAGCCAACTTCAGACAGGAGGACTCAACATGACCACCAAACGTAAGGGTCAGTTGAGTCTCAACGAACCCCAAAGGAATTACAGTTGACCCTTGAACAATGCAGGTTTGAACTGCTCGGGCCCACTTATACATGGATTTTTTTCAATTGTATACTGCATGGTCCATGGTTGGTAGAACCCATGCACATGGAGGAACAACAGATGTGGGGGGCCAACTGCCAAGTCATAAGCAGATTAATCCCAGGGTTGTTCAAGAGTCAACTGTAGGTTAAAATATCTAGCAGGTCTTTAGGTGAATTTTATTTTTCTATAATTCTCTGTTTGGGCTGTACTGAATAGTGAAAATCAAAGAATTCATGCATGCACAGTATCTGCAGGATAGAGAATTGAGAGCTTACTGAAGTGAAAAAATAGACTATGAAACATGCATCAGTCTTGGAAGCATTTCTAAGGTGGAACATGTATATTGCACATAATTAATAAATGGAAATTTTCTGGTGACCATTTGGAATTCAAGGCATAGAAGGGAAATTTTTAAGGCAAAAAGAAAATGATCTCTCAGTTCCAACAGCTCCCATCTGATTAACATTTACGCTCTCAGAAAACAGAAGTCCTCGGAGTGTCTCTAACACAAGAGGCAACTCTCTCAGCCTGACTGACATTGTTATTGTTGTTATTTTGACACTTACATGGTACAAACAATATTCTGTATGCTCCATAGAACATTAAATCAACTCCTGGCCTATAGGTTTACCACTTAAATGAACTGAACAAAAAGATAATTGGGGGAGGGTGGGTGGGGAGGAGAGGAGGAGAGAGGAGGACAGAGCTGGACAGTAACCATGAAGGTAAGGCAAGAATTATTTACCAAACATCAGTACCCATCCCATTTTCGAGTATTGATTTTGGAATGACCAGATCTCAGAAGTCCAAGAGGGAGAAGGAGAATGGGACTGATGGCTTAATTGTAAGAGCGCTCTTTAAAAGGATGCCCTGAAGCCATTAAAGGAAAAGCAGGAAAGAGCGAATGGCCCAAGGAGGATTGGAGGGCAAACAAGAGCTTTGAAAAGAGAGGAGGAATTGGGCAGAAAAGCTTTGAGAAATGGGAAAGAAAAGGGTAAGAGCTAAATGGCTTGACAAGAAAGTTTTAACAGTTTAAACTGGCTACAGGATCTAAGAAACATAGTAATTGTTACAGAAATGTTTTGAAATAAAAGAAAAACATGGGGCAGCAGCTAATCCAAGGGAAAATTTAAAGTTATGGTAATAAATAAATAAATAAATAAATAAATAAATAAATAAATAATAAATAACCTCAGTGAGCTTTCTATCCTACTCTCCCACTTTTACCGGGAAAAAAATGTTTAAAATTAAAAATAAAGTTATGGTGGGAAATTAAGCTATGAAGGATGAAATCTTAGTCCTGGAGAAGAAATGTGTGACATGTGGGTAAAGGACTTGGCAATGGCCTGGACTGTAAGGTTAGAAGGAAGCAGAAAGCTGAATGAATTTCAAGATGAGTTTTCTTAATGAAGCACACGCTACTCTCTCCTGAAGTGCCAGCTCATAGGTAAAAATAACACCGACTCACAGAAGGACTGTGCTCTTCCCAAGAACGGCATTTGTCAAGTGGCCTGTGTACTGTCAGGCACATTTAGATGTAGCACCTAGAACATTCGAAGCTTTTCTAAAGCACCAGCTGGAAAGAGAGCTAAACTCAACTGGAACAGCGTAACTTTTTTAAACTTCCCCAATGGAGATTGAGTACATTGAGCATCTTGCTAACCCTACAATGGTAGTGTTGTTCCTGGTGAACAAAGTCAGCAACAGTTCA